AAATCTGAGGATCTTTGTTACCTGATCCTCAAATCTACCTAAAGATTGGGATTAATGATAAAATAATCATGTGAACCTATGGAAGGAAAATACTTGAGATACCCAAAAGGATATTTGATAATAGTTTTTTTTCTTTTTAAAGTATAACTTAAACTTGTTATTTTCTTAAACCATGTGTATTGAAAATCTTTGATAATGTTTAAAAAATATATATACCTGGGGCTTCCCTGGTGGCGCAGTGGTTGGGAGTCTGCCTGCCGATGCAGGGGATGCGTGTTCGTGTCCCGGTCCGGGAGGATCCCGCATGCCGCGGAGCGGCTGGGCCCGTGGGCCATGGGCGCTGATCCTGTGTGTCTGGAGCCTGTGCTTCGCGGCGGGAGAGGCCACAGCAATATATATATATATATATATATATATACCTGTATTTAAAAAATACCAACTACTCATAGTTTTGTTTTCTAATGGCTTCCTGGAACATACACTTCTCGTAGCTTCTACACTTATATTAGATGTTAAACATATTGATGAAATATTGAACACATTTTCGTTATTAAAGTATAGAATAGTGGATTGCTATACTAAATAATAATTATGGGTATTTATTGTAGTCCTATGATGTGGTTTCTTTAGTTTGTTACCAGATCTGATTGTTGACGGTAAACATTTTTACTCAGTGTTGAAGCACTTACTCTTACATGTTTCTGGGGATAATCTGTGTCTATGTCTCATACGTAGTTGGTCTTTATTCTTTTTTGGTTATCCTTATTAGCATTAGTAATTTTCTTGGTTCCTGGCTTCTTGTTACTTTGTACATTTTACCAGAAAACTTTCCTGATATTAACATTGATTTATGAGATCAAAAGCATGGATTGCACATTTCATATAGTTATTTGCCAAACATGTCATGGTGGGTCTTCAGTCTACTCACTTGAAGTTCTGTTTTTAACACTAGGTTGCAATTAAAAAGTTTATGAAACATATATTTTGAGATATATAAGGAGAGAGGAGTTTAAGCTTAGTGATCTTTAAAGTTTGGGATATGCTTATAATACTAGTGTCTTAAAACCATTGTGAACTGTTTAGGAACTATTAGAAATCCATTGTAGCATGCAGGGTTTCTGCTTTCAGTAGCTAAATGGAGATTTTTTTAAGAAAAAAGTTTGCTTTTTCTCCTATAGGCAGCAATGGATTTTTGCATGAACATGAACACAAAAGCAAATAGGAAGAAGCTGGTCCGGGCGCTCTTTATAGTTCCCAGACAAAGGTAGGTAAAAAAAATAATAATAATAATAATTTCTTAGTGTTTTTACCCTGCAATGATGATTGTAAGGTCTAAGTTCTTGTTTATTTATCTCTTAGAAAATATCCCTTGTCAACAGAACTTATTATCATTGTTGTTAGCATATTTTCTGGAACTTATTTCTCATTGATTTTTGTTCATGAGCTCTAGTGGGAATATTTCTTCTGATGCTTTCCTGTTATTTTGAGAGAAAAAGACTTAAGAATTATAGGAACTTAAATAACTTAATCATTGCTAGAAGCAACTTGTTTACACTTTTGCCTCTGAGGAGAAAAGATAATAAATGGTATATCTTTTTTTGGAGAGTTTTTATTTTGTGGAAAGATCAGACTAAATTGATTGTATCTAATTTTTATGAGTTGTGTTTAAATGAAAAATTTCAAGTTTTTTTTTTGTAATTATGCTAGTTTGGACTTGGAAGTCACATTAGTGATTATGTTGCTGGTAATTCAAGGAATTATGAATAATGCTGGTAGAGAATTCTAATGCTCTAACTTACACTAAATTAACACCCCTACTTCACCCGCATATTTTAGGACCACAACAGGTCACAGATTGTTGACCTTGGGAACCTGGAGGAGATCCATTTCTGTTTATTCAACAGTGAATAATTAAAGGATTTTGTTAACTATTATCATGATTACATACATCATAGCTAAGATAGATACTTTCCCCAGAAGATACAGATTCTGAGGGATTTCACTAAAGATTTCTTAAGCAAAATTTTAATTTGCTTCATTCATTGGTCTCTTAAATGGTAACATTTCGCAGTGAAACCAAATCACTACTTTTTTCCTTTATATTGGTTTTTATCTCCTGTCAGCAGCATTAATGAGCATTTGTTTTTTCATTTTAGTGGGACAAGGGAGATGGAATGTGCTAATATAGTGAGTAGATAATTCAGAATTATCTAATTGAGAAAATCATAGATGAATTATTTTTATTTTGTAAAATTATGTACTGCATTTCATCAAATCTGAGGTGCTGTCAGTTATGAGGTGCATCATTATTTCATATACAGCTAAGAAAGAAAAGAATATTGCCAGTTACTTTTAAGGCTTTAATTGGGAGACACATTCTACTTTCAAACTCAAAATTTCAAACTCCAATATTTTTTTCCTTAATATTTTGGACCAGTTTTTTAAAGTGATTCTTTTCTTTACCTATACAGTGGAGTGTTTACTTTCATAGTTTTCTTTTCAACTGTTTATTTGAATGAAGAAACGTAGTAACAATTATCTGGACTTGTAGCATAGAATGAACGAAACTTAGCAAAAATAAAAGGCTTTGTTAACAAAAGAAATTATGCAGTAATATTAAATAGTTTACTTATAAGAGAGCATCTTGTCTCCCTTTATCCCCATTCCTTCCCACTCCCCCACCCCAGAGAAAACTCCTGAAAAACTATATACTATTACTTGGTTTTATGCCAGTTACATCCTTTATAACTGGATTTATCTGCTTAGCTCAGCAGTTGGCTGCAAATTAGAAGTAGTTGGAATCTGCTAGAAACAGACTTGAAAGTAGTAGGAAGTGACAATTATGGTTTGAGAGGAGAGGAAAAAATAAAGATACAAGTACTTAAAATGTATATCCTTTTGGAGCTATGACGAAGAGACCACATAGTCTTATATACCTGAAATATATAAATATAATAATTTGGGTTTCTTATACTCAGCCTGAGTGATCAGCAAAGGTTAAATTATGTTCTAAAATTTATTCATTAACTAAGGGTCTACTCTGTACTATGATTAGTGCTGGAGATACAGTGGTGAACAAGACAGATTCAACTCGTATTCATGCAGCTTACAGTTTCGAGAGGAAGAAAGAGAATTCTAAGTGCAGTTGACAGGAAGAGTCCCAGCATGCTTTGAAGTATATAACACGGGGAACTGATTGACTTAGTCTCGGCAGTAAGAGAAGGCTGCCTGGAACAAGCGTCCTTTGAGCCGAGACCTGAGAAAGGAATGAGCTAGGTGATGGATGGATGAGGAGAGGGAACGTAGAAAGCATTTCTGATAGAGGCAACAGAACCAGAGACAGGAAAGGTCATGCATCAAACTACTGAAAAAACCTGTTTCCTGGTTTCCCTGGACATTGTTGTCTAGACTAGGCTGCAGGAGGGAGGCCACGTTTACTTCTTTATCCTCAGCACTGAGCACAATGCCTCACAGACAGAAGGTGATAAACTTATGTAACCTGGTATTTACAATGCCCTTACTCATCTAGCCCCTTTTCAGTTTCTTCAGTCGTCATTCTAGCCACTCTTCTTGGAAAATCCTGATCTGTAATGATTTCTTGAATACCCTTTGTTCTCTGCTTCCAAGCCTCTGCTTTCTACTCTATCTGGGATATCCTGTATTTTTCCACCGAAAAATCTCGTCTTGAACTCTTAGCGTAAGAGTTACCTTCTCTGAATAACCATCTTTATTTCCCTTACGTATATATAGGTGCTCTTTAATAGACTTCCGACTTAATGTCTTCATGCATACGAAGAATTCGGCACATTACATTAGGCATATTGGGTCAGTGTTGGTTTGCGTCTGTACCCCTATGAAACTGTAAAAAATATGGGCCCTTTAAAAGAGGACTAGATCTTTTCATTTTGAACATCTACAACATCAACTGTAGTGTTTGATATACAATAAGGGCTTGAAAATATTTGATGAATTAATATTGGTCATATGCAAATTTAAAATTTTATTTAAAAAATAAGTAATGCACTCACAGGACTCAGAACACTGAAGTATAAAACACTGTGCTGAAAAGTATCTTTCCTATCCTTGTCTCCCCATCTACCCAATTCCTACTCCTCCCAGTAGGAAACTGCTGTCTTGATTCTTGCATCCTTCCAAAGTTTCTTTTGCATGTGCAAGAACATGCGAACATTCTTATATTTCCTGCTTTTTTACACAAGGGCAACTTCTTATACCTATTGTTCTGAACTTCGCTGTTTTTACTTAAAAGTATATCTTGGAAATCTTTTCATGTCTACACATAAAGATTTCTATTGTTCTTTTTAAAGCTGCAGTGTTTCTTTTTATGAATGTACTGTATTTAACCACTTTGGACTTCCAGTCTTTGCCATTACAAACAACCCTATATTTGTATAATACCTTTCCTTTCTTCTTCCTCCTCTTCATTATGTTAGCGAGTGGTTTATTCATTTTAGTTTTTCACACACACACACACACACACACATACACACATAAAACCCAGCCTCTAGATTATCTATGTATTTATTCTACTGTTTTACTGTTTTCTTACTCATTATTTTTGGATTTTATCTTTATTGTCTTTTTTGGTTTCTTTAATTCATTTTGTTCCTTTTTTGGCATTTATATTATATATCGCTGTCCTCTGACCCTGGTTTTAGCCGTATCTCTTAGTTCTGACATGTGGTGATTTCTATTTTTATGTTTTCTGGAAATTCTCCAATTTCAGTTTGTTTTTACATTGTTACCTAAGGAGATATTTGAGAGAGTTTTGAAATTTCCAGGTAGTGGGACTTTTTTGTTTTGTTTTCTGGCTTGGTTAATAATTCATATTTTTATTGCACTGTGATTAGAGAATACAGTGTTTCTTGTGCTTTATGGAATTTTTTGAAATTTTCTTGCGGCCTATTTATGTAGTCAGTTTTCACGAACATTCCACAAACATTTTTGGAAAAAGGGGCGCCTCTCTCTTTGTGTGGCATCTCCCTCCCCTCCCCGCAAAGGACATGGATCCTAGTGAATGTCTTTATTCTTCTCTATGGCCAGGATTTCCTCCTTTATCCATTTAGCCCCTCCAGCCTGAGCCGACTATAAAAACCAGAATGAATCATTTAATAGTTACTTGAGTGCCTATGACTGTGGGGACCTGAAGGTTTTATATGTGTGTATATGTGGTAGAGAATTTAAGCTGTCTTACCTAGTTTGTATAGTTTGGTTTAGGAAGCACTAAACTCGATAACTCTTAAGGTTTTTTTTTTTTTTTAACATCTTTATTGGGGTATAATTGCTTTACAATGGTGTGTTAGTTTCTACTTTATAACAAAGTGAATCAGTTATACATATACATATGTTCCCATATCTTTTCCCTCTTGCATCTCCCTCCCTCCCACCCTCCCTATCCCACCCCTCCAGGTGGTCACAAAGCACCGAGCCGATATTACTGTGCCATGTGGCTGCTTCCCACTAGCTATCTACCTTACGTTTGTTAGTGTATATAGGTCCATGCCTCTCTCTCGCCCTGTCACAGCTCACCCTTCCCCCTCCCCATATCCTCAAGTGTGTTCTCCAGTAGGTCTGTGTCTTTATTCCTGTCTTACCCCTAGGTTCTTCATGACATTTTTTTTTCTTAAATTCCATATATATGTGTTAGCATACGGTATTTGTCTTTCTCTTTCTGACTTACTTCACTCTGTATGACAGACTCTAGGTCTATCCACCTCATTACAAATAGCTCAATTTCGTTTCTTTTTATGGCTGAGTAATATTCCATTGTATATATGTGCCACATCTTCTTTATCCATTCATCCGATGATGGACACTTAGGTTGTTTCCATCTCCGGGCTATTGTAAATAGAGCTGCAATGAACATTTTGGTACATGACTCTTTTTGAATTATGGTTTTCTCAGGGTATATGCCCAGTAGTGGGATTGCTGGGTCATATGGTAGTTCTATTTGTAGTTTTTTAAGGAACCTCCATACTGTTCTCCATAGTGGCTGAATCAATTCACATTCCCACCAGCAGTGCAAGAGTGTTCCCTTTTCTCCACACCCTCTCCAGCATTTATTGTTTCTAGATTTTTTGATGATGGCCATTCTGACTGGTGTGAGATGATATCTCATTATAGTTTTGATTTGCATTTCTCTAATGATTAATGATGTTGAGCATTCTTTCATGTGTTTGTTGGCAATCTGTATATCTTCTTTGGAGAAATGTCTGTTTAGGTCTTCTGCCCATTTTTGGATTGGGT